GTCAGAGAGAGAGGGAGACACAGAATCTGAAACAGGCTCCAGGCTCTGAGCTGGCTGTCAGCACAGAGCCTGACGTGGAGCTTGAACCCCCGAACCATGAGATCATGACCTGAGCCGAAGTCGGACACTTAACTGACTGTATCACCCAGGTGCCCTGTGTACCCAGAAACTCTTGAAAGATCCACTTTCCTATTGATTTTTATGTTTCTGTTTCCAAGGTGGAATATATTTTTTTTTCTTTTTGGGATTCCAGACTAGGCCTTTTGGAGATGTCATAATGCTTTCTGGACTCACAGTAAATAAAACAGTATTATATTCATCTATTGGAGTTCAGCCACTCTGCCCAGTTGGCTTACAGTCTCGGATCATGTCCATCTATGATTTCACAGCAGAATTTGATGTGACTGGATCAGATTGCTGAGATCTCTGTGTTTCTCCATCATAGCTGGTCAGACACATGTGCTTAGGGCAGTGTATGACTCCTATTTTGAGTCCCAAGATGGCACCTTAAACTTCCAGGAACATGGAAGTTGGCACCATAGCCATTGTGTAAATAACAGTGTCATGACTGAATATGGCTTCTTTACAGATGAGAATGCCAGCTTTAGCATTTTCCAGCTGTGTGACTCTGGACAAGTTGCCTAAAATATTGGTAAAATGGGGATAGAAATTGTATCTATTTCATTAAATGGTTGTAGGTTCATGTGAGTAAATACATATAAAAAAGTCCTAGAACTGGACTTGGTACACTGAAAGTTCTTAGTAAATGTGAGATGTTGCTGTAATTATAGACAAGGAAGCTGAGACTGGTGGTGGGGGTTGGGAGTGTTAAGGAACAAGAGAAGTTCACACAGAAGAAGAAAGAAAAAACTCATTCTCAGAATCAGGATTTTGGGTTCATTACCACAGCTGGTCTTTTGATTGGTGTCACACTTTGGGCCACATGGCCTCAGCCTCTTTGTTGGTTCTTTTTTGTATTAGCTGTGGAAGCTCTAGAGTGAAACCTGAGGTTGCTGACAGATGGGATTGCTAGACTCACTGTGCTCTGTGGAGAATCAGTCACGATTTTCTGTCCCTGCTTTCATGTAGCTGGGGCACTTCACCACCACTGTGGGCTTAGCCCCAGCTATAACCTACAGCCATCATTCAACCTGAAGCACTTGTATTTAATGCTCAGAGGACAGGCTTCTTTTAGAGAGGAAGCACTATGGTAGGTACAGTGGTTCTAGAGCTTGAATGTATATAGAATCTATTACAGAGAACCTGATTCAGGAGTGTTGAGCCTTTATTTTTAACAAGCATCTCAGGTGACTTGGATGAAGGTGGTCTCAATTCATACTTTGAGAAACACTGATACAGTAGAAGGAGCTTGGGCCCTTGACATGGGTGGACTTGGATTTGAATCTGCTTATCAGTTATGTTTATGTGGTCCATTTAATCTCTCTGAGCCTCAACTATAAAATGGACCAGTGAACTAATAACACATTGAAAGTTTAGCATGACACCTGACACCTATGATGTGCATCATAAATGCTGTAGTTCTTATCCTTTGATTTTATTTGGTGTCTTGGACTCCAGAGAATTTTATACTCTATTGGAATTAATTTGTCTTAACTTCTTTTTTCTCACTCATGCTTGTTGTTGATCTCCTGTCTGAATCGCACCTGCTCTTACTATCTCCTTGGAAACACTTTCCTATTTAGATAAAGTTGACCATATTCCTTCAAGCCTTTGGTCTTTCTTTAGTTATCTGCTCCCATGGTGGTGGCATTCCCATGGCTGAATCATGTCTGTGTGCAGTGTTGTGGACTAGAGTTCCTTTTGCCTTTTCTTGGCCAGCAGGACTCAAGTGTAGAAATGCTAAATGCTGTGGCTTGCCTCTGTCTGCAGTGCGGCTGAGGCATCTGTTTCCTCAGTCCGTTTAGTTCCTAGTGTTGGCATTTCTTGCCTGTTCTATCCACTGCTCAGTAACACAGCCAGGTGCCCCCATGATTTGACTGATAGAGGACAAATCAGCTAACCAACCTGAGTTAGCTGATGTATTGGCCTGTCAGGTGCCAATGGTATTTTACTTTTACCCTTAATATTTAAACCTGGTTAGGGTCAGGGCTTTGTTTTATTTGGAACTGAAGTCACTGAATTAAACTGATGTGAAAAAGTTCATCTTGGTCTCTTCACTCAAACACACAATCATTTGTGCACATAGGGGGATGCCCCGTTACCTCTTTGGTCAATTTAGTCCAAATGGTAGTTTTCTATAAACATGGTCTTTAGCTTTTTTTTTTTTTTAATGTCTATTTAATTTTGAGAAAGAGACAGAGTATGAGCAGGGGAGAGGCAGAGAGAGAGGGAGACACAGAATCTGAAGCAGGTTCCAGGCTCTGAGCTGTCAGGGCCCGAACCCATGAACTGGAAGATCATGACCTGAGCCCAAGTCAGACGCTCAACCAACTGAGCCACCGTGGCACCCCCATGGTTTTTAGCTTTAATAGACCTAAAGACCAATTTGCCACAGAAAAGTAAGAGGAATGCTGGTCATTTAGGCAGATACCCATGTGGAAGTGCCACTAAAACATCAGCTAGGGAGGAGAATGACAGACATAATGAAAAGGCTTGTAGGAATAACATCAACATTGCTAAAACAAAATGAACTGTCAACTTGCAAAAATCTAGTGAGGAACTAGAAAAATATCCTGGAAATATGTTTACTATAAGGCATGGATAGAGGGATATAATCTTACTTTGTATTAGCAAGGGATGTAATAATCTTAATAGGTCATTGGATTTAGGGACTATCCTAAATGTAAGATGAGTTCATCTCATGATATTTAATTATATTTTCAAAAATCCTATTTTCCAATAAGGTCACATTCTGGTGTTCTGGTAGATATGAATTTTGTGGGGACATCATTCAACCCACTACATCATACAGGGCCAGTATCCATGATACAGCTTCATATGATGAAAATCCAAAATCTGGGTGGTATGAAGCTATCTCTTCCTGGCCTCTGTTCTATTCTATTGTGAGAGTCTTAGGAACGGGAATTTGTAAAAAGATGCCTTCATGACAGGAGCTCAGTAAATATTTTCTAAAAGTGTAAACTAGGAATGGCAAGTCAGGACCGACAAAAAGAGCCTGAGGAGGAACCTATCTCAGAAATATCCGTTTCTACCTTTTCCACAGCCATTTTAACATGCTATTAACAGTCAAAAGTGTGAGTTCACTTTTGTGGCTAGATGGACCATATGGATCACAAATATTTAGTCTACTACAAAAATAATTTCTCTGTTGGAGGTGGATAAAAACAAAATTGCGTTCAGTATGATGGCTTTCTAAGAGGGGACATCCAGATGTGCCTTAGTGAAAACATGCACTGAAATAGTATTAATATATTAAAAAGGATGAGTTGTTATCACTGAACAGGGAGAAAACCAGTATGATTTGTCAAAATTAAAACAAATTTAGTTGATTGGTGGTAGTTAGGAAGGTGGCTCAAAATGAATAAATTCATTTACTGGTTTTTAACCCTTTAACAACAGGATAGATTCACCCATTTTGAGTGGTTTAAGACTATAGTCACAAAGTGACAAACAGGTGCACAAAGACCGAGCATTCAGTCCATTTGGGTATGGACCCTCTTACTAGTTCCAGAAAATTGACCTATTTTATTGCATCCTTTTTACAACCAATTCCAGCTGGCTGAATTGAGTATATTTTTCATTCTGACTTGTTGACTTCTGGCCCATTAAGGCAGCCAATCCAATTAGGCAGGTTTTCTGTTGCTTTACCTCCTGACAGAGCATCTGATTGGCTCACCGTTCTTGCTAAGTGACAGTCCTTCCACAACTGTGGGTTATCACTCTTAATGGGATCTTATCTCCAGGTTTCTTTAAAAATGTCTTTATTTTTTCTGGTTATGCTTATGCTTGGGTTTTAAGGCATTTCTCATTCAAATACTTGAATTTAGATCTTTGAGGTTAGGGCCTAGGCTGAATGATGAGTCAGCTGAGTTGGCAAGGTTTACATTTTGGCACAGTCCTTGGATTACCAACTGTGGCAGGCTTAATAATGTTCCCCCAAAAGATATCCATATCTTAATCTCTGAAACCTATGAATGTTATCTTATATGGTAAAGAAAGAACTTTGAAGATGTGATTAACCTAAGGATCTTGAGACGGGGAGTATCATGGATTGGGATTTAAGTACAACCATATCTTTTCTTAAAAGGGAGGTTTGACACAGACACACAAAAGAGGGAAGCCATATAAAGAAACCAGAGGGAAAAATCAGAGAAAGATGTTGTTAGGCTGCTGGCTTTGAAGATAGAGGAAGGTGTCATAAACCAAGGAGTCTAGCTCTAGAAGCAGGAAAAGGCAAAGAAACAGATTCTTCCTGAGAACCTCTAGAGGGAGCATGGCTCTGGCAACACCATGATTTGGACCCAAGTGAAAATGATTTTGGACTTCTGGCCTCCAGAACTATGAGAGAATAAATTCTGTTTTATCAAATTTATAGTTATTAAAGCAGGCACAGGAAACTTCTGCACCAAACAAGACCATCCCTGGCAGGACTAAAACCCTGCTTCTGAGAAATGTGATTTGTAGGGGCATCAACACCAGCTATGGTATTCTTTATGTATTTTTCTATGCTTACTTTTTTAAAGATAATGTTGAATGTCATTTTGACCTTCAACCCCCATCTGAGATACTGTCTGAAAATATTTGGTGAGATTTTCTCATATAAAATGAGAGACTTCATAAACCTCCCATGTAGCAATCCAGTTTCTTGGTATATTAAAACTTTTTATATCAAGGTTACCCCACCCTGAGATTTCTTTTTCATTTAACTATGGGGAATCTTAGCACATTACTTACCTGTTCCTTTTTGAAATTCTCTTTTTCTTGGAATTTTGTCCTTTGTATTAGTCAAGTCTCTCCAGAGAAACAGAATTAATAAGATATCTAGCTAGCTACCTATTTATGTAATTTAGTTATATAAATATGATAGAATATACATTTATTGTAATAAATTGGCTCACATGGTTATCAAGGCTGACAAATCCCAAGATCTGCAGCTGGCCAACTGAAGACCCAGGAGAGCAGGCAGTAATAGTTTCAGTCTGAATGCTGGCAGGCTCAAGACCCAGAACGAGCTTTTGTTTCAGTTCTCATCTGAAGGCAGGAAAAAACACATGTCCCAGCTTAAGGCAGTCAGGCAGGAAGAGTTCCCTCTTTTTTATTTTTTTAAATGTTTTTATTTATTTTTGAGAGAGAGCGCGAGAGCAAGTGAGAGCGCACAAGTGGAGGAGGGTCAGAGGGAGAGAAGGAGGGAGAGGGGGAGGCAGAGTCAGAAGCAGACTCCAGGCTCTGAGCTGTCAGCACAGAGTCTGACGTGGGGCTCAGACTTGTGAACTGAGAGATCATGACTGGAGCTGTACTGGACACTTAACTGACTAATACACCCAGGTACCCCAGGAGGAATTCCTTTTTGCTTGCTGAGTGTCAGTCTTTTTTTCTGCAGGCCTTGGATTAATTGGATGATAAAAGGAAGGGCAATCTGCTCTACTTATTCTACCAATCCAGATATTAATCTCATCTAGAAACATCCCCACAGACCTACCCAGGATAATGATTGACTAAATATCTGGGTACCTTGTGGCCTACTCAATCAAGTTGGCACATAAAATTACCTTTCACATTTGATCTTAGCTATCTTCCCCTACAACTTTACTTTTATTTTCATTCATAAATGTGGATATCCTTCATAGCTAAGACCATCCACCTCCATTCCTCCTCTCTAAACATTCCTTGACACTTTCCATCAGACATCCTCAGCTCCATCCCCATCCCTAACTTCACGCGGAGCAAGTAAAATCTGACTCTATGAAAATCAAGTATTTCAAAGTTGTACCAAAGTTTCTACTTTAGTTGTCCATTATTCTTGTAATGGTGTCACAATTATTCTAGGTACTCGGGCTCAAACCCACAGAGGCATCATTGAATCTACCCATTTTCTTTTCTTTTCATAGAAAAAAACTCAACTTTTCTTGATTTTTTTTTAAAGTTTTTCTTAGATCCCTCCTGTCCTCCTTTCTTCCCTGTTCCTTCTGCCTGCATGATAATATAGTCCACAGCACATGGCTATTGCTGCTGCTCTTGGTCAGATTCATTTAATAAGCACTTCCTCTGTGCTAGGTGCTATATTAGCACTTTATACATATTTTCTCATTTATGTGTCCTCCCAAATCCTTTAAAGCAGGTATTATTATCCCATACTTTGCAGTTGAGGCACTGGGAATAAGTGATCTGTGCAAGCTTTCCTAGCTGGTAAGTAGCAGAATGAGAATTAAAACTCAGGCCTGAGTCCACAGCATGCATTCTCAAAACCCCTTATATAGTGCCTCTTTGGATTTTCTAAAATTTCTTCCAACTCACATTTATACACCATTCCCAGTTCTAATCTTCTCTATAACTACTGACAGCAAAATCTGAAAACATGTTATTTTTCAGTATCTTTCCCTATTCAGAAACCTTCCAGTGGCTCTCCATTGCACAGGGGACTTAATTCAAGTTAGAGCTGCCTTACAGACATTTCTCCTCATCCATTCTGCTTCACTGCCCACTCCCACTTGCTCAGTTGTCTGGATGTGCTGTCATTCCTTGGTGCGTATTCTGCCTTCCATCTGTTGTAGTTGTCCTTTCTATCCCAGCTGATACATCTCAGTGCATCCTTCTGTGTCCAGTACATATGTCTTCAGCCTGGAAGAACATCCCAGAAGCTCCATACTTTTATTTTCTTACTAGAACTAAACCTTCATCTCATAATTTTGGTGAGCATGTGACTCATGATTATTATGTAGTTAATCAGCCTGTCTTCCCAATAAGTAAACTTTTATTTCTGACTTGTTGGCAAGTGTAAGTTTGACAGGGATGGGGTGGCATTCTATTCATCCCTGAGTTGCCCTTCCAGATCCCCTCTGCCCTTGAGGACTAAATCAGCCACTCTTCCTTTGCTAGGAGGGTAAGGGTAGGGTGGGGGGCATTGCAGTTGATAGCTCCCAGCCAAGTCCCTTTTGAATTGCCTCTAGCAGAAGAGAACAGCCTATATCTAGTGATTGGTCAATGTAGGAATACAAAGGTCTGGCCCCTTGCTTCAATATGGGGTAACTCACAAGAGCCATTCCAGCTCCAGAGCTCCCCATGGGATTGATAAAGTCCTTTGTTGTCACTGTATTGCTCTTTGGCTTCCCCCTCTGTCCAGTTATGCTTCCTGTCCTCCTCCACTTCCAATACACTGTCTGCACACAAATATTTCCTTCAGCATTTCTTTCCCAGAGAGCCTGACCTATGCGAGGGGGGTCTACACATGGCTGGTAGTGTTATCTCAGTTGAATGGGAGAAAGAGGCTGGGGGGATACCATTTAGGATGTGGGTTTTTTCTTATTTTCCTGTTTTCACTACAGTGCTTTTGCCAGCCTCTTTGTCACAGTTTGGATTTTCTTTGGTTCATTTTCTCTATAGAATAAGCCTCTTTGTGGGGTAAGAGACACTGGTTTACTGGTGGGTTGGGAGGAAGCCTGGGAATCAGAATGCCTTATGCTGACATTCGTCCACCTATTTTCAGGACTGCTCCCCTTTCTTGCATGGCATCAAGGGTCTCTGTTTCCTGAGCCTTCCCAGGATGCTGTGGGGGGAGTTGGCTTATTTCTTACTCTTCTCTTCAGGTATTTAGTTGCCAATTCCTCCAACTACTTTCTGACTCCTGAGACTTTTTGCACTAACTTGGTTTTGTTTCCTCGTTTTCTTTACATTTGAAGGTTTGTAATTTTTGCATTCTTTCACTCATTTTAGTAGAGCTTCTGGAGGAAACGGGGTTTAGCACAGGTATAAAATATGCCCTGTTTAACCAGCAGTATAGGAGTTCATGGTTTGTTGCCAACTTTGGAACATCTTGATTTTATTTTTAAATAAAGGCAATGATTTCTTAAGATACATACATGTGGCATTTTATTTGAAAATATATTTTTATTTATTAAGTGAAAATTTGGATCACCATGTGGAGTATTGGGTTAAAATGAGTGTATTTTCATTCACCAGAACAGTGGCAAGAGCATCATCAGCCTCTGTCTCACCCAAGCACATGCAGCATGAGGGCCCCTAGCCAAGACTGACACTCCCCTTCCATATGCCTAAGCATCTAGAGAGAAATTAAACCTTTCACCAGTCACCCAGATGTTTTGTCTGCATGTCAAGAACCATCTGGAAGTGCCTAAGTAGTTGGATGTTTGTAGACAACATATCTTTGTGCCTGCCTGAATTTCTCTCACCTGATTTTGATGTTTGGCTTCATGGAGATGGAGCCAAAGGCTGACCAACTGGATCATCACTGATAGTGTCAATTACAGTGGGATCTGAGGGTTGTAACTTAAAGATCATGCTTTTTTTTTTTTTTTTTTTTTTTTTTTTTTTTTTTTTTNGTTTTTTTTTTTTTTTTTTTTTTTTTTTTTTTTTTTCGGGCTGTGTTTGATGCCCACAGTCACATTTTGGTTCATGTTTAGTCCATGTTTTGGGGACACAAGAGTGTTTATGCAAAGGTAAGGGCTGATTTCTGGAAAGTGGGCATGTGTACTGGAGGTGGTCTGCTGTGCTGCAGACTGCCAATCAAAATGTGCCAGCAGTGTCATTCAAGGTCAGAGACCCAGTGAACTGCCAATCAAAGTCGCAGGACTGTTCATGTTCACTTGTCAGTGTTAGAAAGAGGTCATTCTCTCTGTTGTGTGGCTAGTGTGTGAACAATGAGAGTGTTTCAGTGGCCAGAAGCATATTCTGCTGCCTACCCCCTGGTGATTTCAGGATGCTTGCCAAGGTTTTTCATATCCTACAGGAATATAAGGCTGAATGGTAGAAAAAGCCAATGGTATTTTTAAAACCTGAGTTATAGATTCGGATTTCTGAAAGCAAGCATGGTAGCTCATTTAGTGTGTAGCTTTGTTTAATAATATTTGCTTAAAATCTCTGTCTATAAGAAAGGATAACAGAAAAATCAGAAGTAATATTTTTAAATATCTAAAAAGAGACATCTCCTTTAAACATTTTGTGCTTGGTATTCAGTTTGCTTTCTTGCCTTACCTCAGTTAATCATTATCTTGTTGATTTTCATCATACAAAGATAAACTTTGCATTTATGGGAAAAATGACAATTTTAGGATGTGCTAACATCACAGAATAAAGCTTGAAAAATTACAATTTCAGAGTCTGGAAGACAAAATGATAGACGCATTAAGTTTTATATTTCAGTAGGGTCTTGATGGATTTTCCGAATAGCCCTCTCATAAGGCAAAGGAACAATTCATCATAATCAAGAACATTTGCCATCGAAAGTTATTTACTAGCAGCAGATGCTGTGGTGGGAAGATGTTCAAAGTTCAGCCAGTGTGCCTCCTTGTTGGCAAAACCTTCAAATGAGTCATGTTCTGAATGTTTTGCCTCCCCATTATAAAATATACTGATAAATTTTTGTAATTCCACATGCTCAGGCTAAAATGTTCAGAATTCATCTGGATGTCATGTAGCTGCAAGTATAAGCAACTGCTTTAGTCATATTCTTATTTAGGTAAAAAACATTCACAATAGCATTTTCAAAGTTCAGAAATAAAACACTTAAATTGAGGCAAAGGATATGCATACTAGGTATAAACACTAGGTAGATATTTTCAAATTTATGGACTAGTCCATGAGAAACACATGCAGAATGTGGCCATTGAGCATGAGGCTTTGGGGTTAGAAAAGTCTTTGGAGTTCAAACTTCTCATTTTGTAGGGGGTGGAATCTGAGGCTCTTGTGGAGGAGGCACAGATAGTGGCAGAGACAACTCCTGAATCCACCTTTGAGTCCTGGGCTCCTTCTCCTTTGCCAGGCTTATGGGAGCCCAGTCTGTTTTCTAGTCTACCTGGAAAAGCTTGTGGTAGAGGTGAGTTTTCTGAAGCTGCTCAAGAGGTGAAGGAAAATGGCTTTAGGAACTGAAAGGAGAGTAGATGCAGTTGGAAAACACTCAGCAGTGGTCTGGGCCTTTTGGAAGGGAGCTCTGGGTAGTTTTCATGAGAGAACCAGGGTCCTGGGATTGTAGAAAGTGGGGGAAGAAAAGAGGATGCTCAGAATCATCCATTGAGCAAAACTTTTCTTTAATAGGCTTTATGTACTCTCAACTTTGGATTAGAAATATTCTTGGCTAGCAGCAGCAGCAACTCTTTATTGGTAAGTCATTGTTTTGAGAGTGACAGACTCTAGGCATAGAAAATACCTGATTCCAGTGTTCAGCCTTGGCTGACATGTTCAATAGTAGAATATGGGAGTGAGATGTGTGGGCAAGGGGATACAGATCATATTTTCCTTCCCTTACTCTGATATCCTGATAAACACCCCTAGGCTTGGAGGAGAGATTAAAATCCACGAAGACAAAAGAAGAGTGATTCAAGCGTGACCGGTTTCTTTCACAGATGTGAGGGGGGCTGGCCATGAGGCACAAGGCAGCCAATTTTCAACTCTGACAGCTGCCGAGGTCATCAGCTTCCTAACGGCACCCCTTAATTCTCTGAGGCCAGGGTGTCCTTTGAACTCAGGGGTTGTTATACTTCCAAAGCTGAACTGAGAAGGGGAAAAACCTGCAAATTTTGCTGGCCACTGAGTACACGATTACCAGGCCATTAAAACCATAGGCTAAGGACTTAGGGTTCTCCTGTCTTTGACCTGCAAACCAGTAGTTGCTCCCCGATGACTTATACACACACACAGTGTGTGTGTGTGTGTGTGTGTGTGTGTGTGTTTATTCATGAAATAGAAAAAGGGAATAGTATTTATATGCTAAGAGCTTCAAGGGTGGCAGCAGTACTCCTCCGAGAAAGTCTAATGCTCTAGTTCAAAGGATGCTTACAGTGGGAGAGAGGACCATAGAGCTGAGAAAGATTTTCTGTGAGGGACTTTTGTCATGGCTGGATTTAAGGGCTTGGTGAGAGCAGGGAACCTGAGAAATGCAGGTGGTTTTGCATTCTGCTTTTGAATGGGTTTCACTTCCTGGGGATTCACTGGTCCAGCACATGTGGAGCTTCACCTCCAATGGGTGAGAGAGGAGGGGTGCTGTCTTCACTGCTCCAGACCCAAGCTACTTGGTATGAGGTAATGATGGGGGGGGGGGGAGATTCAGACCTGAGAAGTCTGCATCAGTAGGAAACTGCCAATAAAAGCAACATGGTAGATAAGAATGACAGTTGGAAAACTTCAATACAGTAGGATAAAGCATAGTCCATTATTTGAAAACTGTATATAAAAAAGTACATTACATCATCAATAATGTTGGTGAGCAACATGTGAATGGTGTTTAGGATTGTCATCGGGTGAAGCCTGAAACATTTAAACTAACATGAAATACAGTTTTCAAAATCCTTTAATTTGTAGAGAGTAATTTAGTTTAAGTGGTTGGCAGTTCCTGTTAAGAGGTATAAAATAATATTGTTCAATTGAACTTTTAACTTTTTCTTCTTTTCTTTGCTAGTTCATTGCTATCTATATTTAGCTATGATACCAGATGCAATTTAATACTTATCCTATATACAAGATACACCATGGACTCACTCATAGCTAATTAGAGGCAAGAGGTCCTACCTGGACTGCAACAGCTGGATTCCTATTACTTTTGCCCTCATGGTTCAGGAGTGCTGAGCTCCCTTCTATTCTCTGTCCCCTTTGTGACTGCTGAAGAATGCAGTATGAAAGATAGCACATCACAAAAGCTACCTGTGTCATACTTTGCCTTATACAGCATGAGAGTGCCCTGTACAGAGAGGCTCCTGTTCACTTGTCCATGTATTTATTTGTTCAGTCTGAGACTGTTGCCCTGCTGTCCAGCACAGATAGTCAAGGGCTGGTAGAAAACTTACTAGGGAACTTGCTCTTGGATCAGGGAGTAGCAGGTGATATAGCAGGTATTGGTCATGTCAGGCAAAACTTGAGGCAGGGAGTTATCCTGGAGCCAGTGAATGCAAGCCAGTTAAATCAGGGCAGGAACTGCAGAATGGTCAGTGCCAGGAAGGTAAATGAGCAGAAGCACTTGTTGCAGAGGTGAAGGTTACTGTCAGAGGCCAAAGCTTAAGTCAGACTGAGATGACAGAGCAGACATGGCCTGGGCAGAGAGCCCTTCTGGGTTAGAAATGGAGACAGACCAACCCAACCAACACCCTGGACAGCTCCCAAATGTGGGTCTCCTGACAATTTCTTCTGCAGTGTTCCATCCTCCTTATGTTTGTTTAAGAGTCTTTATACTAGACTTTTTGTCAGTATAAGACAAGGGATTTTCTTCAGAGAATTACTCTCAGTACTCTTAAGCTCTACCCTAGAATAGAGGCTACATCTTCTGGCCTAAAAGCTCCAGTTTGTTCATTTATTTATTCATTTATATTTAGCAGAATTATTAAATCTCACTATATGCTCTCCTGGCTGCAAAGGATATAGTGATGACTGAGACATAGCCTTTGAACAGGAGCTGGCAGTTATTGGAAGAGGTAGACACTTAAAAATAAATTAAAACTAATATGGTGAGACCAGTGATAGAAATGTACATAGTAAATTATGGGAGCACATGGGAGTCATGCATAATCCTGAACAGTGGTCATGGATGGTCTCTTGGAGGGGGTGATGTCCAAATGATGTGTCTTAAGAAAGAGAGGAGTTAACCAGAGAAAGGAAGGAGAAGTAGCAGGGAGATAAAACAAGGAAATTGCAGACAGGGGAGCCAGAGTAAGCATTGACCAATAGGCTTGACAGTGAATGAAAGGGTTTTTTGAGGAAGACGTATAAGATGTAGAGGGTTAAGTGAGTTCACTTTGGCAGCAGGGAAGATCTGTTTTTATCATTAATGGTGTATGTGTTCATCCTCCCTCTTGGATCATGCTAAGCCTGAGACTAGGGCACCAACATCTCATTAGGGACATGCAGTAGTGTTTTACAATCCAGACGAGTTGGTGAGACAGACTGAACCTGCATGAGTGGCCCTCATTTGCCCCAGCATCAAAAATGAGCAGAAACTACTCATGTACAACTGGAAGCAATTCCTGTTAGAGGTATCTCAACTGCTATCACCACAGCCAGACTCCTGGAAATGCCACAGCCCTGTGCTTGGTGTGAAAAGGAAGGAATAGAGTTTCAACTAAATTTTGGAGGGTAGGTAGGATTTTTGACTTGAGATGAGAAAAGACAAGCTCTTTAAGGAAAATATATGGAAAAAGCAGAAATATAGAGAAAATACAGTATTAAGATAGGAGTATATTGGCTGGAGTGGAAGGAAAGCTTATCCTCTGTTTCAGAAATAGAGAAAACCAGAAAGGTGGGATGGGACCAGATTACTTTGAGCACAAGTGTGAGACATTATTGAAACCATTAATAAAAACAAGTTGCGTCTTCTATCTGACATAGCCTTTTAATTTATGATGTTAGCATTTCTACTTCTGATGTTTCATTCCTTCTTACCCATCACACTGTTCCAGGATCATTTATTTACCCATTAATTCACTGATCTATTCATTTACGTAGGCTTCTGTAAAGAACTATTTGATGTACATCAGAGAAAACTCTTGCAAGGGAGATAACTTGAATTGCTGTTCTGCCCATCTATTTTATTTTTTTCTAAAAAAATAGCATTCATTTTCTTTTTATAATTTATTCTTATACAGGAGGATGTAGGCTTTAATTTGCTTGTGTATCTTAGCATTAGTGCGGGTCAAATTTGGAATCATGGGTTAGGCACAGCTGCAGGTCTATTCTTCATATAGCTTTTCCCTTAGGTTCACTCCAACCCCCCCAGGGCTGGTCAGCTGTCCAGATAGGCAGTACCATGTAGTTAGTGCTCAAGTACAAGGGCCCCAAAAATAGACAATTCAGGGCTTAAATTCTGTCTTTTCCCCTTATTGTCTTTGTGATCTTGGACATCACTATTTGATCATATCTGACCTATCCTAATCTGACCATATGATGTCAATATAAGACTTAAATGAAATAATACATGTTAAGTACTTAACTAATTTACTCAGCCTATAGTAAATGCTCAGTAAACAGGGGCTAGCTATATTATCACAAATGGGCCATTGAATATAACCCTAGAATAGAATCTAGAGAAATATTTGAGATGGTTGAGGTGGA